GAAGAAGAGGCGCTGGTGAGCCTTCTTCACCAGCTTGGAGCAGTTGGTCGTCCAGATGAGATCCTCGGAGATGTGGACTCCCAGGAACTTGAAGCTGCTCACACGCTCCACAGCCGTCCCCTTAATGTGGATGGGTGGATGTGGGTCAGCATTCCTCCTGTAGTCTACGATGAGCTCCTTGGTCTTCTCTGTGTTAAGCAGCAGGTTGTTTCTGTCGCACCACTCAGCCAGACGATCCACCTCCTCCCTGTAGGCGGCCTCATTGTTGTCACTGAGGCCGCCTACAGCATTTATGCCATAAATGCTTATTTAAGGATTTCTAAATTAGCATTGTCTGAAGCCTGCCGGTTTCCAAACAATAAGCACAACGTAGCAGTCGTGTCTGTTGTGATTTAATTATCAGGTGGTGCTGTAAGTTCGCTACTGATGCTCTTCTGATATTTAAAATAATGTAAAGAGGCTCATGGTGGATGACACACAAGGTATTTTAATAATATCAAAACACCACAAAGTTTATGGACAGCAGCTCTTCAGGGTTTCATTCATTCTAGTTTGGTTGAGATGTGTCTCTATAAAAGAGGAAGTTCAAAGGTAGCAGTTTAGAGATCCTACTAGAGCTTATCTGACATCAGCATTAAGCTTAAATCAACACTTTGCATCTGCAAGCATGTATTCAGACAGACATTAGACTATGTGAAAAACACTGCCCTGTAATTCATTTGACTGGAGCACATCCAACAGCACCGCAGGAGCGGCAACGCCCACTTGAGGCTCAAGATGATTTTGTAATGATGAAGCTTCATTTCTTGAGTTTACATCACAGCTCCTACTTCACTGAGTCAGAAATGAGACCTTTGAAAGTGAAGGTAGAAACACAACACACAAGGTGATAAAGAGTTGTAGTTTTGTAAAATGTTTATGTGGATGAACCAAGACAATCAGCTAAACCCTGAAAGTGTTAGCTGTAGTTAAGAAAAAAAAACCCAAGTGATAACTATGACTTGATACTGACATTTGTGTGGTATTTTAAAATTTGGAAACAGAACATTAGAACTGCTCATACATTACTACTAATAACTTTATTGTTAAGACGACCACATAGTAGGTGCTGGGATTTCCTGTTTCTCTTTCCTGTAAGAGAAGGATCCCTCATTTCTCTGGCTGGGCATGTAACTTCTCTGAGATGCTTTCTAATAAAATCTTCTATGGTTCAGTATTATTTACATTTTTATTCCATGTGTAACCTCTACTGCTGATTTTATTATTTATGTATGCATCTGTCATATTATTTCCATTATTAATACTTTCAGGATTTTATTTTCCTGCAGCATATAATGATGTACGTGTCAGAGCCCAGTGCTCCAAAGAGCTGTGTGCCATGTGCTCAGCAGGACCTCTTCAGCCTTTTTCTTGGACCACTGACTGTGACAATCATGATGGCAGGAAAATCTTTGGGGCTGTAATGAGCTAAAATTGAACAGAGAGATGGTTCCAGATGGTGGTGTCATCGTGGTCCTCGGTCCCATCTCCAATTCAAATCCCGGACCGGCATCCGCATAGATTGGTAACCAAGGATGCCATGGCTATCTCGAATCACAATGGACTAGCATTGAGTGGGAAAGAAAATACAGTCTATTATTTCATCTATTATTTGCTTTTCCTTTAGTGAAAGGAGCTCTTTATTTTTTTGGAGAATAAGAAGAATTTGGGGATTCAGGTGGAAGAGAATAAAATAGAAAGCATCAATCCAACAAGGCATGTACACAATGCATTTCATCATGTCTATATCTGTTATCTTAATTGCACGGATAGATTAAATTTTTTTCCAAAGTGCAACTGAATTTTCAAAAATGTTTTACTCATTTTTTCCCTGCAAAATTCAGCGTTTTAGTACTCTATAATTACTTCCTTATAGCAGTTTTCACGTTTGCTGCTACATGAACATGCTGGATATAATATTGCAAGGCGACATGCAGTCATGAGCTCTCTTTTAATGTACTTAATTAAAACAGCAGGAGTCAATTAATGTTGATAATTAACAGCTACGGCAGTTGTAAAGCCTCTCTTACATTTCTGGCACAGCACTTGTTCAAGATCTGTTAAGTTGCTAACTCACCTAGTGGTCTATCATGATAAAAATGTCAGCAGAACTCATGGATACAAGCAGCAGATGTACCCTAGAATCATCCCTTAAGACTGGGTGAGGAGTTTACACAGTTAGTTGTGAGATGCTGAGAGTGAGTGCCTGACAAGCCCAGTTGTAAGTAAGCTATTAA